TGGCAATCAGTGGGACGCCCGAGAGGATGCAAAGCGGCCGCTTCAGGAAGCAGCGCCACTGCGGCTCTTGCGTGACCTCTTCGGGTGGCGGACGGGCTGTTATGACCGGCAGAGCAAGGACATGACTGTCCAAACGCGGTACACGTCCTGCATGAACACAAGAAGTGTCCGTGTGCGCTGCAGGGAACGCTCATCGGCGTCGCTAGGGTCGCTGGGGCACACAGCCCGCCAGCTCGCATGAGTGAACAAGATATGACGGAAGAGCGATGTTGCCAGACTGAATTTTCTAAAGACTCTATACACTCATCGACTGAAAGATCCATAGATTAGGAGTTTGGACAAGTCAGTTGACTGAGCTATTCATCGATAACTGGTGAGCACTTTGTAACTATATCGTTGCAACAGGTTCGTGACACATTTTTATTGACATTCTTTAACATTATTTGATTTCGCTAGACCTAGCTGGAGTTGTTCTGCTTACAGGCTTGTTTTTGGCGCTGTGTAATTTTTGCAAAAAAATGTTTATTATCAGGAAGACTGTTTAACACAAATATTTTATCTTACTAAAACTGTTCAGGAATCTTTCACCGACGAGCGGCATCTTTTTCTGCGCACCTTATTCACTTTGTTTTACGCACTGCCTGTAGCTGTTATCCTAAGGGGGCAGTCACCTCTTCAACCTACTAAATCTAGGAGCGCTTTGTGTGGTTGTATTCGGTACGTTTGTTTGCTCGTTGATTGGCTGATTTTTATTTTGGGTGCCTCACTCGTGCGACACTACATTGCCTATGCTGGTCAGAAAGAGGCTTGCGATAATAACTTTACCTTGGCCTCCATGATCACGCATACAATTGTTGGGTGAGCTACTCAGATAAAGCCCATTGGTTATGGCGTTACATGAAGCTGAGCGCGAGTTAGACAGTTCCATTTTCACGTGGGACGTCTCACGATAATATTTCTGAAACGCGAATGCCAAGCATTATGTCGACATTTGTCAAAAAGCTAAAGTCGCACTGCCACTTAGAAGGCGATGAAGAAACAGCAACGGCCAATTATTAACCGAGATCACCATTACACGCTTGCCATCGGAACCACAGCATATATACGACACGCATGCTAACGCGATAGCGTCAAAGCGCTCGTTCCGTGGAAATTCTGGCGTCGGCGTCATCGGCTGTGAGCGAAAGATCATCATCTCGTTCGTGAGCGAAAAATCAATAAACGTTCAAATTACCTAAACAATAAAGAACTCCGGGTCCGAGTGAGAATAAAACCTGGGCCGTCTGCGTGGTAAACAAGTGTTCTACTACAGAACCACAGTATTTGTCTAAACTGTTTCAGAAAAAAACACCTATAGATACATATTAGAGAGTTTTAGTACTGCGTACGCTGCGTACGTGGTGGCGTTGCGTACGTAAGGACGCCACGTTCTGCGCAGTGCGCATGCACAGACCACAACGCGCACGTATCGCATTACGTACGCAACCGCTACGTACGCACGCATGAGATGCGTGCGTGCGTACGTATGAGGTGATCGCGCCGCTCTCGAACAAGTTCACGACAGCGCGAGACCTCGTTTTGAAAAATGGCGGCATCGAAGTCAAGCACCAACCGGCTCAGTGGCTAAAATATGGCCATAATCTGGCTATAACACTTAAACTGGCTCACATTGGCTGTCAACAACACGCACTTCTATTTTGATCAACCAGATGGCGCAACACGCTTCACGCTCGTTACGTACGCGGGTACTACGGCGTACTAGAAGTCGATTAGTGGCAAACCAGGCCACGTAACGCAAGGCGCTTGCGTGATGCGTACGCAGCACCATTCCGCAGTACTAAAACTCTCTATTATTACCACAAAGTGAAAGGAATATTTGTAACGCCTCCTACATTACGCAGCAGAAGCGTAAGAACACGCCAGGCGTCAAAAGACATAAATTAAGCACCAAGTGGGTGTTTAGAAGGCCCAACCATCACAAAACAATCGGATGTCTTTAATCATCATCAGCAAAAGCAAAGCATCAACAAAGTGAACAGCTGAGCAGGTACACATGATGCGGACGCGTAGAGGACCCTTCGCTGGTTCGCAAAAGAAATAATTATGAGGAAGCGGGCAACTGCCCTTGCAAGAAACATTCAATGGTACTTCGAAATAGTCAATGTTACGCGCACGGTCAATTGTTTTCTCAAGGCGCGGTTGAGGCATGCACCAAAAACCAGATCAGGCTAAAAGTTCAGAAGGCGATGCGTACGAGACCCGATTACGCAATCTCAGTCTACTATTGAAGGCGAAGCTCAAGCCATAGAGTTTCCCACAATACTTACCAGAGGGAACTCTGGCGCTAGTGTCTATGGGAGCTGCAACACACGGCGCTTCAGCGAGCATTGGAATGATTGATTGATATGTGGGGTTTAACGTCCCAAAACCACTATATGATTATGAGAGACGCCGTAGTGGAGGGCTCCGGAAATTTAGACCACCTGGGGTTCTTTAACGTGCACCCAAATCTGAGCACACGGGCCTACAACATTTCCGCCTCCATCGGAAATGCAGCCGCCGCAGCCGGGATTCGAACCCGCGACCTGCGGGTCAGCAGCCGAGTACCTTAGCCACTAGACCACCGCGGCGGGGAGCATTGGCATGATGGGTAGTACACACGTTTGTCTAAACTTCGAACTTCTCCGATGGAGGCGGAAATGTTGTAGGCCCGTGTGCTCAGATTTGGGTGCAC